TGATTTTCGTGGATTTTTTTTTGTTGAAAAACACTTGTTTACAATTATCTTGTAAACAAATGGGTTCACAACATTTTGCCATTGAATGTTTTTTGTATGGAATCTCATTTCGTACAAAAAACGTCTGTTTGAAACGCAGTTAAAATTCAGTACATCAACGGTTGACCACAGATCGGCCACTTACGAAAATCTTCGGGAAACCTCGGGTCAACCATCAGGCCTAGTCAATTACCGAATCTCAGAGTCAGTCGTAGAGAGTCGTAGCAAATGAGTTAAGCAAGCAGTATATCGTTTTTCTAAAGCTACTTTCGGTTGTCCGAACAGCGTCAGTACATCACCCGTTCGAGACATTTTGTTTTCTCAGTACATCTCCTATTTAAATTCTCAGTACAGTCTCCTATTATTCAGTATATTATTCAGAAAATCTCCAGTGTTAAATTCAGAACAGTTTGAATTAATTTTAGTGACAATTAACAGAGTGTAACAAGGGACGCTAAGGTGGTTCGATTCCACCGAATAAATCAGTATATTTTCTATAGACTCAGTGCGTTCGTTTTTCACCGGCATTTCCACTACCTCTTTCCCAATCCATCCTAAATTCAGTTTTCCCTCCAAACACATGGTCCTTCGAGCCGGATTCGGGAATCGGTAGTGTGAAATTATTCAATGCAGTGAAAAACCCACGCANATTTCCACTACCCCTTTCCCAATCCACCCTAAATTCAGTTTTCCCTCCAAACACATGGTCCTTCGAGCCGGATTCGGGAATCGGTAGTGTGAAATTATTCAGTGCAGTGAAAAACCCACGCGGACATTCGGGGTTCACATCAGAAACTCAACGGACAAATTCAGACGTGTTTGTGCCAGTGTTTATATTCTCCGGACAATAGAAGTATAAACACCATTGTCCTCCAGTGCCTCAACGTGCCGTAGAGTCGAGAGTCAGCGAGAATCACCGAATGTTGCCGAACAGTCTCAGCGCGGGCCCAGCGCCCAGCCACAGGCGGCGCCTCACAGCAGCAGAGTCGACCAGTTACCGAGGCAGCACAGCAACTCACCGAGTGGTAAAGCGCAAGCGGTCGGTAAAGTAGAAACTCTCGTACTCATTTCCCAAGGGATCTGACAGGTTGTAAACAAAACAGTACATCACCATGTCAGGCTCCGAAACAGTAATTGAACAAGAATTGCAGGACANGCAGTAAACTCACCACCTGGAATCCCGAAGGTCATCATCAATGCCCCTGATGGAGATACACTCAATCAAGGGGACAAATTAATTTCGGATGTTAAGCAGAGGTACTCCGAGATTATTCAAGTTCCAGAGGATGGTCTCACAGTGCATCAACTCATCAAGCTGAGGCAGATACAGCTCAGGGTGGACAGTATTACGGAGGTTTATCAGGAACTCACCAAGGTCATCATGACCGACGAGGATGTCACCTCCGAGGATTTGGACGGCCACGATAGGATCCTGGATTCCGAATGGGCAGAATTACTCACCATCCAGGGGAGCCTGATCGAGTCCATTCCACACGATCACCCGTATCTCGCGAACGGGGTATTCGAGCAGGCAGCCACCACCAGGAAGCAATACGTCAGGCTCATCAGCAGGTTGAGGGGTCAACTAGCTAGGAAAGCTCAGCCACCCAGTACACCATCGAGTCCTCAACACCACGATCAGCTGAAGAGACTGGACATCAAGCCTTTTGATGGCAATCCTTCACAGTAGAAGGAGTTCAGTGACCTCTTCACTTCACTGGTGGGCAGCAAATCTTCAATTCCCCCAGTGGACAAATTGGTGAAGCTGAAGAGCAGCCTCAGAGGACCAACAGCAGTTCTGACNATCAGTTACACTTCAGGCAATCAACGGAAATCAACAGGTTCAGATCAGCGTCCACATATTGAAGAAACTTACCGCAATTTTACCATCGTTCTCATGTGCCTCAGCGAACATCGAANCAGACTTTTGGCACAGTACTTATTTAATCGAGTCCTGGAGTTGCCAAAAAACACCAAACCCACGGAACAGAATCTCACCGACAACGTGGCAGCAGTGGTCGAGTCGCTGGACCAGCTCAGAACAGTGGCCGGCCTTTCAAAAGCGAACCTAACAGAACAGCTGTTCGCTCACCTCCTGAGGAAGTCCTTGGACGCAGAGACCCTCAGACAATGGGAATTGAAATTGGGAGACGCCAAGGGTTTCCCCAGTCTCAAAGAGTTCGTCGTATTCANTGAGAGTCGTCTTCAACGGCTCCAGCCCCACTTCATCAGGAACGTCACTCAACGACATTCTACATCCAGGTGGAAAACTTCAGACCAACGCCATGCACGTTCTAACATGGATGAGAAAGCACAGGCTCGTGTTTGGCACTGACGTAGTCAAGATGTTCAGGCAAATATGAGTTCATCAGGACGATTGGGACCTGCAGAGAATTTTGTAGGTTGACGACAACAAACAGCAAATCTCCTACTAGCTCACCACCGTCACCTACGGGCTCAATTGCTCCCCATGGCTGTCTCTGAGAGTTCTCCAGCAGTTAGCAGAGGACGAGGGTCCACGATTTCCAGCAGCCGTCGAGACAATCACCAGAGGTCGTTACGTAGACGACATCTACGGCGGAGCAGACTCACCAGCAGAACTCAAGGAGATAGTATGGCAGTTACAAGGACTTTGCCAGGCAGGAGGCTTCCCTCTCCAGAAATGGAGCAGT